TCATCAGTGTCACCTTCCATTGTCAACATTGATATTCAAATACTTATGGATTATTCAAAGCATTTTTAATAAGATTTAAACAATTAATAATGTCACATGAATCAAAGTGAAATCTAATATAAAGTTTTCAAGATCACACAGCAGTCTATAGAGAGTGTGAAAGTAAGAATTAAGATTGAAGATAATGCTTAATCAACCACAATCAGCCAATCCGATTTAATAATTCTCGTAGTAACGTATTTGTCTTTTACTGTTGCTTTCGCAAGTAAAGTGGCAGCGTCATCTATAAAAAAAAATAACAGTCAATTGATGGAAGAAGTCCTAATTTAATAGTAAGACTTCTTTAATCTTGTGATTGAATCTTTGAAAAATCTCGTATCTTGAAATATTGATTTTAATGTGTCTGTATGTTATACCAGGAACAAAACGATACACCAGGTAAATAAACAATACCTCGTTTTCGAGATTGTTCAAGTTGTCTAACTATTGAACTAGGACAGCGAAAACTACATACTTTTTTAGAAAGATGCAAAATAAAATACGCCAGACGATGTTAATTTATTTTGACTCTTCAAATTATGCTTGTCATCATCCATTACTTCCAACGATTTTCTGGCATAGAGAGTGCATTTAATTGGAGTGCTTACTTAATCATATCTCCTGCGGTATATCATTCCTCTTGCTTATTAACCAATCATTCTGTAAGATGATGCGGTCAGTATCTGAAGGAAACAAGCATCTCCAAATTATAGTTACTTGACACTGACATATAATTATTAAAATTAAACATTAGGACCTTTACATCTTTCTTGCTTTCACTACCAACGTGTTGATGGTGTAGTGCTTGTAATCATGTGCCTAAATTTTACGTTGAATTAAATTATTAATGAAATAAAATTCACCCACCAATCCCCACTGGGTTCGCGTGAAGGGTCATGACCTATTCTTCCCATTCTAGATTCACAGAGTAGGCCAGTACCCCAGCGGTGGGGACATTGATAGACTGACGATGATGATGATGATGACGATGATTAATGAAATGAAACATTTCTTAAAGTTATGGAAACTGTTTTGTGTATTATCTGTCACATATAGTTCACTTGTAACGCCAAGCATTCAACATTCATATCATCATCTGCCTTTTAATGTCCCCACTGCTGGGGCACAGGCCAGGCATGTATGGAATCGGAAAATTGGGTCATAATCCACCACGCGGGCCCTGTACAGACTGATGGGTATTAACGACTGCAGATGCAGCCGGGACCAACGGCTTAACACGCTTTTGAAGCACGAAGGAGCTCGATATAGTAAAATTTTGTTCACCCATCCAATGACAGACCCCTACGAAAGGTGCGTAACTCCAACGATCTCAGCCGAACGCACTAACTACTTGCACCACCGAGCTTGTCAACATTCACACTTACATTAAATTTTAAGAAGAGAATAGAAATTGATTAGCCGATATCAAAATACTTGCGTGTTTACGCATGGTAACAATCGTAACAAAGGTATTGTTATCATCGGGCGCGGCTTACTAACCCGCGGGTCGCGTCTATAAGTCTTGTGTACAGATAAATTTAAATCAGTAACTCGTGTTTAAAGCCCTTACTGTCAAAAACTGACAATATCATTTTGAGTATCGAACGAGGTAGATACTGGTAGGAACTGCGAATATTTTTGTTGCCGCGAAACTAAGGTAATGTCAGTCTTAAATTAATTCCATTAATGTAGGTTGAATGACGAGAGAGGTCTTGTAAAACTGTGAGTTTCCATCACATTTTTACTGATCTTTATTAATGAACTTTATCAAGAATCAGGATGACGCTGTTTTTAGGGCGTTTGGTCTACGATGATGGAAGTAAGGTAACTTTCCCAATGACTGATCAAAGGATCGGTAAACAAAAAATTATATCTTGAACTCCTTCATGTTTCGGCTTAAGCTTAAGCTGTAATTTATTAATAATATTTAATTTGAAGATTCTTACGAAATCAAAATTCATGCAAGTTGCCTGAAAGCACAGTTAACCTGTGTTCAACCCGATCGAAGTCGAGGGCGAATTAGGCCTGCGATCGTGAAAGTTAGGCAACTTTCGCAATATTCGGTCATGGGATGGGTGATCAAAATATATTATGTTGAGCTCCTCCATTGCTTTGGAAGGCACCTTAAGCCATTAGTCCCAGCTGCACATGCAGTCATTAGCACCCACCAAACCGAACTAGGCCCGCGTGGCGGGTCACAGTCTAATCTCTCTATTCTATCCATAGGGAAGGCCTGTGGCCCTTCAGTGGGGACATTAATAGGCTGATGATGATGATTCTATGATTAATAAATTTTAATATTACCAACTTTATATGATGATTCATCATCCAATGTTACTGGCTTCTTAATTTAACTATGTAAAATGTCTCTAGCCTATGATATGATAATGTTTAGTATTGTGTTAATGAGACGGTGCTTTACAGATAAGATACAGTTACGTGACTTTAGAGCTTTAAGTAGCTTTCAAGTTATCATATTCAACTATTTATCACGGTGACGCAATCGCTTTAAATTAGCTTTTATGATGGGCTTTTCGATTTACATGATTACATCATATTTTTTATGCAAGTTCTAGTAAATATTACCTTAGGGCGCTTGTTAACAGAACGATTTGTACCCAGGTCTAGGTACGGTTTTAAATCGTGTCTTCGTCTGGTCGTCACTTAAGTATGGGGCACTATGGAGGGTTTTTAACGATACCGACGCTAGCGACGGTTTGGGGTCGGTACAAACGTACAAACCGTCCGAAATTCTTAAACAAACTTTTATTTAATATTAGCAAAAGAAAAAAAATAAACAGTAAACACAAGAAATTATTCAATCTCTCAGAGTATGATAATCATGTAGCAGTTGAATGCTTAAAAAATAAAAATTAAGCTGTCACAGTTTTTTTTAATTACTTTTCTATAAAATAAGTTAACCTATAAATGTGATATAAAGTCTATTAGTATGGTTATCTTTATTTGTTTTGTCACTATAAATGAATTGTAATTCTTTACTGATAATTTAGTAATTTATTATTTTTGTTTGTAAAAAGTCGGTACCTTATAAATGATGTATAATAATTATTATATAAATAAAAAAAGCTGGAAGGCGTCATTAATATTTTTCATATATTGATGGAATCAATCACACGCGTGTAGATTGTAATATTTGCGAAGAGTAGAGGTTCAAATTAATGAAAATAAAATAGTTTAATAAAATAACTTGAAAGCTACTTAAAGCTCTAAAGAGTAGAGGAGGCAGAATGCCGCCTTGACGAAGCCAGCCCTAATTCACACCAAAATTATATCGAAACAACAAATAATACCTGATACTGTACATATTATATATCCTACTATTATATATTGAAGATTAAGGTAAAAACGGACACTGAAAGCCCTTCGGTGGAAAACTACTTGTAAAGTCAATATTTTAATAGAGTTATAAGCAAACTGCAAATTGAATCATTGCCACCATCTTCGTTTTCTTCCTTTCACACTTGACAAGATGTGTCAATATTTACGTTAACTATTCGATGGCGCTCATCTTTTCAAACGAAAGTGAAACGTGTACAAAAATAACCGGCTCCATGCTTAATGGAGGCGTATCGATGCAGTTCCCGGCCGATGTTTGATGTTTTCTTTTGAGACTTATTTAATTTACGTACTTTGATAGATTTGATCTCCTACACCTCTTAATACCCTATTTTAAGAATAATGATTAAAGCAAACATATATTAACACTAACTAATACACATTACAGCTAATGACAACACAGGAAAGTGATACTTCCTGTGTTGTAATTAGCTCAAATGCGAGAAAATAAAAGATGTTAATGAATATTTTATCAATGTGATGAGCCTGTGAGGATGTTACAAGCTGAAAGAATAATTTGAAAAAAATAAGCATTAGGTATATGTCATATTTTTCGTTTTAAGGATTAAGCTGTTATATTTTTATATATAAAATACTAGAAAAAATCTAGCGGTTGGCTACCCTGAACTACTTTTGTGAGTTGCCCAAAATGGCATAATGAAAGAATTTAGATATAGTTAATACTCACATTAAAATTTTATTAATATAAATAACATATTCCTGTATTCGATTTAAAATAAATTTCAATACACCCAAGTATTTAGCAACATTTTAAGTAATAATAAAATGTTGATTGAGAAAAGTTACAAACTGCAATATATTTTTTATGAATAATAGTAATAATATAAAAAAAATATAAATATTCTTTTTTGCACACAACAAAGGACACAAGAAATAAACAAATAAAACCGAAAAAGTATACGCAATATGCGGCCTTATTGTTAAACATCAATCTCTACCAGGCAACCTATGGTGGAAAAGGTATAATGATTTAGTTAAATATAAAAGGGTCCATAAGTTAATACAGGAGAAATACTTACATAAATATTTAAGATAAGAAAAGAAACTATTGTTTTAGGTAGAGTAAGTATATATCTTTTATTTTATTGGTACTACAAAGTATTTTTATCATTATGCTATTAATAGCTTAACTCGATAAAAGAAACAAGTCACACGAAACAAAGGAAGGAAATTAAACGCACTTGCCCAATAACTTTGAAATCCTTTAAAACGAGACAAAAAGAGGCGGTCGTTACCGAGACGAAACTTTTTCAATATCAGCTTGGCAACAATAGGCGGTTTCTTTTTTATCCGCGGAATTTGAGGAATAAATTTCATGTCGAGGAATATATCCTTAGACAGCCATGACTGACTATGTTTTAAAATCTGTAATATTCGAAGTACCTATTACAAGATTATTACAGATTTGTGAATGTGAATGTGAGGTGAAATTAAAAATTGGTACTATGCACTTTTCTCGCACGCACACTTGTAGCATAGCACGAAAATACGCTATGTTCGTCCCATATTCTGGGCTCATCACGCTGTGTTGCTTTCGGGCGAAATTTCATCGTGTGACGCTTGAGCGAAAGTCTCTTTTCGTAGTATGTGCACGACGCTTTGGAAGGGCGGCCGCGTAAGCCACGTGCACCTCGAAACTTGCGCTTAGTTCTTCACGAACTGTGTAGGAGGTTAGTCTGCTACATGAATATAATGTTCCGTCAACGTCACGCGTTATGAGTGCACGCGGCGGGTTCTTTTTCGCCGGACGGTAGCCACGTGATTTTGACAGTCCAACGAGCCGGTGTTTTGTGTGTGATGTGCCGCGCGCGAAACGCAGTGTTTTTTTGAAAATCTCATGTTTAACAGAGCTATGTTTTGACTGGATAACGCAAGGATCTTTTTCAATTGTTCCGGGCAATTTCTGGCGAACATGGAGTGTTTTCGGTAAGTTTTCAATTACGCTTTAACTGTTTAGTGAGGTATCGATCTCGATTCCGTTTGATTATACTTGTAGCTTCTGTTTGTTTTCGTTTTTGTTGTTATGCCTATGTCAATTATTGCTTATAGTTTCAAGATGTTTGATAATGTTATATTTTATTATTGTTTGATATATGACTATTTTAACTGGCATTGAGATTTTGTTATGTTGACGTGAAGCTTAATTAGAACGCTATTTTTGTTTATAAATTATTTGTGTCACAATAAATTCTGAATACTTTTCTTTTGTGTTGAAAAACAATATTTACGTTTTTATAAGGAAAACGTTATGATGTGAGTTTTACCAAGTAATACAGGCTCTAGACTGAAGTTTTAATAATTAATTTACATGTTAAAAGCTTTCTGCGGATGTATGAAATTGCACTCATTGTTTATGGACGAAGCTAGCTCAGCTAGGGTTCGTTCTGCGCATGCTCTATGGTATGTCAACAATATAATAATATAACAGTTTATATATAAGCCTGTCTTAGGGATCATAAATTATGAAACGTTGGGTGTCTTTGTGGAGTACTATGCTATAGGGTTAGTGATTAGGTAATGTGTGTTAGGATATGTTAGACATACACTAGACATACTTAAAATTACATAATGGTAGGTACTACACTGCCACAGGGGCTAGTTCATATTTTAACTAACAGATCGATCTTTACTTTCAAATGTATGCGATCAGCAGTGCTATTCTGTAAGATTCATGTGTGATTTGAAATTAGGATCCGAATTTGTATGAGGTAATTTGAAAATCGTATTCTAATTTTGAATCACTCGCGGATTCCGCGGTAAAAAGTGAGATTGTTCTTAAATAATACACTGCACTACACTACACTACACTGCAGGAGCTGCCAAATACCCTCTAGGTCATTGATAGCTACTTACGATCGAAAGGGTTAGGCATCATTTGCATGAGCGACGGCGATTACGAATCACCCATCTAAATGGGTGATCGATTTTAATTAGGAAAATGTTATAATACATATATAATATTTGTGTATTTCATCATACAATGTCTTAGTTGACTCAGGAAATAAGCATATTTTTTAAAAGGATCGCAGCAAATTTTGCCACTCCTCCTTTAGTTCAATGTAAGTCAACCTACCAACAGAAAAGGTGAAGGTAACTTGCCCAGATGGCTGCTCAAATTCAAGCGTAAAGTTTGGGACTTTTGTCCACGGTGTACAAAAGTCCCTGAATCGTGAAAAAATGTTTCCCATGTACGTATTACGTAGTGTTGTCATGATTTTTGATGTGTAACATCTTTCCTCTCGCTTTCCTACAATTTGTGAGAGTGATTTCTTGAAATGGGATGTGAGGTGTATAACAGGAACTCGCGAAAGAGCGCGCTATTTGATTTGATTTTAGAACATAATGTTCGAATTGCTTTTTCCTTTTGTAGTAGGTTTTATTTCTTTTTTTTACTTATATAAGGTGAGGTTTCAAGTGTTGCACATCATACGCGACTACTGTAAGACTCGCTCGTTTTTTCTAATGCTTTATAGGCAAGGCTTTTGACCACAATCTCGCCTGATGGAAAGCGATGATGAGGCCTAGGATGGCACAGGCCTGTCTAGAAGATGCCTGTTCACACTGGCCTTGAAGATGTCCAGATTATATTGGACCGGGAAAACAGACTACGGCAAGAGCAAGACCTGCATCTCGGTCTACCCGCCTTCGGTGGTCAAGGCTCTGGAAATTAGCCTCAACGAGAGCGTCATTGCCTATGAGTCTCTTCGCACGGTGTTCCACTTCCATGAAGTTTAAGAAAAAGAGAAGACGTTAAAAAGGAGAATACTGAGTCCATCTCTTTTAATAACCCACGACAATTGTTAACTAGAGCCGAGAGCCGTCTCAGAGACGCCCTCTAGTTGAGCCGACCCCCTCAGGTTCGAGTGGTCTAGAGGCTCCAGACAGAGAGGAAATTCCCCCCGTGGGGAGATGCCATCCGCCTGGAATACCCCTAGAGGCACTCGCCAATTCTCGGCTTGAGGTCCCCTTAGGATCTCGTCGTCCCCAAACCCAGTGACGCTGTAATGGTCATCTGCGGCCAACAGCATACACACTCATAAAAAAAAACTCTTTTAAGCGGACCGAGCGCGCAACGCGGTATAAAGTACGCTTTGAGCGCTGCTGCGCCTAGTCACGTGAGTTTTTTTATTTTGTTAGGGGGCATCGGCGTACTTTTGCCCCGTCCGGTCTCTCGTTGTACTCGGTTGTTGGGGGGACTCTCTATAAGCGGTACTTTTAATTTGTCGTATGCTTTACTCGATGCAGTTGTAAGTGATCTATTTCGGCGAACAAAAAAGTCCTCAAACAAAAGTCTCTCGTCTGCGCAGGCTGATAGCTTTGAGTCCACTATGGTACATTTCACTAAGCGCATTAAATTTACTAAATAATATTAAATATAACTTGCTGGAGTAAAGAAAGGCGTAGTAGAGTTTTTATTTTTGTTACTTGTTATCACATTGCTAAAACGTTTATTTATCCTTATACAATATGAATACCACTATCACTTCGCTGCTAGTTGAAATCAAAGCAGTGCATTAACTTCCTTAACACATTGCGATATGATGCATTTTTACATAAAATTCAGCATGCTGATCTATATATATATGTACGATCAGGATCAAAATATAATACAGGAGACCACGACGAGCGACCACCGGGTGTAGCCAATTTGTGTTTCATACAAGTTCATAATAAGTAGTGGGTGTGATTTTGTGACTATATAAATTGTTGAAAAGCTTGTTGTTTAACAACTGAACCAAATCGTATAATGATTTTTTTGTGTTCCTTATCTGCGCTTCTGATCCTGGCGACCGCGACCCAAGTCACACCCACACAAACACAAATTGGCCACACCCGGTGGTCGCTCGTCGTGGTCTCCTGCATTATTTTGTGTTTCATACAAGTTCATAATAGGCAGTGGGTCACGAGACCTGACTTAGGTCGCGGGTCGCAGTCGACAGTATCGGAACTGCAGTTTTACTGTCAAAACAAGGTTTATGTAAAAGAAAATAAAAAAACCCTAACAGAAAAAAAATCATAGACGTAAGGTATGAATTTCGCCGTTTATTGACCTTACATTGTATTTATCATTGCGAAATGCTGTATATCAACGTAACTGTGACCTAACCCAATCGATAATTTACAAAAGAACATTATTATTAAATAAAACTAGTTTTTACGGGTTAATGCACGAAACTTTATTTATTTATTGACGTTTCACATGCGTTGTACCTAATGCATGTTGCATTAGGGGGACCATACCATTACATTAGATTTGATAAACCACAGATCCTTGCAGCTGAGCGGAGGTTCGTTCCTCGAATGATGCGCGAGGCTATTGAGATTAAAAAATATCCAAATTTTAATAGGGAAGATGGTTGGTATATACCACCAGCTTGGGAACCTATTATACAGGAGATAAAATCCCAACCCCGAGCACACCCTGCAAGACCATCAGATACTATTAGTTCTATTTGTTTGCATAATTTAACATAAGAAGGAGATAGAAAGCCTCTCTTGAGTTTGTTTCGCCGGTTCTTCTCAGAAAGGTCTCCCAATTTTGGAACCGGTGGTAGTTTACGGTAGTTAGGGTCAAATAAATAAAGTCAAAAATTACAAAAAAGAATTTTTAAATAAAATGAGTGAAAATGAGTGATGTGCGTGAAAACCTGAGAAACAAAAAACATTATTATCATTAACAGAAAAGTAATGAACAGTAGATAAAATTTTCACCTTACGCCCATGGGATGTAGTGAAATGGCCAAGCCACATATTTTGACTAAGGAGCAGAGTTTGTGAAGTTAACCCTTGAAGCGTTGGAGCGTTTAGAGTTGAAAGCTTGACTCTACAAGGGATCTGTACCCCTAGCACGAACCATTATCGAATTCGAATAGTTTGCAAACCGAAATGTCAATGTCAAATTTTGTATGGAAACTTGAACAGCAGCAGCACAAAGTACGTAACGAAAACTAAAAATCAATACACATTTGACAGTGATATTTCGGACTCGCAAACGATACGAATTCGATATTGTTTCCTGCTAGGGGTACTGATAACTTTTAGACTATTTTGGCAACATTTTACATTAAAATGTTTTAGGCAAGATATAACTATGGGACAGTTTTTGAATAAAATCCATGGAGCTGAGTCCATGCAATGGCTGCTGTATTGTTGGATTTGTAGGCCCGGAGTGTCACCGGTAGTCTTCGCTAACGCACGTCGCGTTCACGGCATTCGCCAGATGATGATATATTATGGCCTACCAATATACCATGTCCTATTATGTCGTAATAATGAAATAGTAAAAATCTAAATGTTAGGATTCAGAAATCTCTAAAGTTCAGGATTTTTTCTGAAGTTTAGGATTCAAAAATGTTCTCCATTTAGCAAAAGTTATTAATTAAGATTCAAGTGCAAAAAAAAAATTACGTGACAAATACCGTATAACTTGTCGCACGCAAGTATGAAGTAAAACATCTATCATTTTTTTTCTATGGAATAGTGCATTTAAAAAAACACTGATTTCTAGAACCAACAAATTAAAATGAGATTGTATTGAAAGTTTTCTGTTTCATTCTTTATTTTGAAGTTTTTATTCTCGGAACATGCCGTCATCATACTCTAACCAAAAAGTGGTACCAGCGATTATATCCAGTCGATTACTTATATCGAGAACCAATAGTAACGGCCGGCGTATATCACCTGTCATCATTCTCACGCTGGAAATTTACTTTGCGCCAGTACCTATAGAGACGCAAAATAATTAAAGCTACCTTTTGAGGTGCCTCAATTACTTTTACCTTCTTAATTGTTCCCATGTTACCACGCACACAAATAATTTAATAAAACACGTTTGGAAGGGTTATAAAAGGTTCCGCTGTTTATGACCTATTCAGAAGGTCTTTGCTTTTTTTGTTGTTGAGGTAAGTGTATTTAGGCCAACGGGT